AGTGGAGCTGCGCAGCTCGGGATGGGACTTGGGCCGGGCCCCTCCTGCCTCTCCCGTTGTCCGGGCACCCTTCCTCTCCCATAGAGCCTGCCGCCTTCTCTCCTCTGGGGTCCTGGAGTGGATATATGTCACCCCCTCTTGCCTGGTCCCCGAAGCCCCCAGCCCCCTCTGGTGCCAGGTTCATTTCTCAGGATGGGGGCTTGCGACCTTATCCTGAGCCCAGTTTCCAGACCTAGAGGGAGGGCTTAAAGGGGATGAGGGGGCCCCATTTTTAGGCCGTGGGCATCAGTTTTCCCAATTGGCCACACACCCTGGGAACCTCTCTGCTGCCCAGGAAGGGAGTCCATGCCACCCCTAAGCTGAATCTGGAAAGAAGGGCCTTATAGGTAGCCAGGTCTTTGTGAGAGGGGCCCTGGAGCCTTTGGTTTACAGAAAGGGGTCAGAGAATCCCAAGGTTCTGCATGACCAGGGAGAGAGGAGCCAGAAACCAAGAGCTGTCTGCCTTCTCTTGTGCAGAGTCCTGGGTTGGGGGGGGGGGGGTTGGGGGGGGGGGGGGTGGGGGGGGGGGGGGTTGAGGGGTAGGGTGGTTTCTATTCTGTGCTGAGACAGGATGTGGGTCGCCTTCTACTTCCTCATGGCCTGCTCCCAAGAGTTCCCTCCCAGTTGCCCACATTTGCCTGCCATCTGCCTAGCAAATAGGCCCTTCCCCAGGGGGCAGGCCGGCTTGGAGCGCATCCCTGTCCAGGCCCCTGACCCTCTGCGAACTCAGGCAGGTGCACACACAAGGATGCCTGAGATGCCCAGAGGCGAGCTGATCCCCCTGGAGTCATCTTTGGCGGCTTTGGGGGCCTCCATGGCATCTAGAACCCCATACCTGGTGAGCATGGTGCTCCAGTTCTCTGAACCTCAGTTTCCTCAATGTATACAATGGAGATAATGATAGTACTGCTCCCCCAGGGTCATTTTCGGGATTCAATGAGTGATGCATGTAAGGCTATTTAGAAGCGTCCCTGGCATGTGGGACGTGCTGGCCACGAATTCAGTTAATAAAATAGGAAAGGTGGGAATATCCAACTGCCGTTGGGGAGATTTCCACCCCCCTTCCTTTCTCAGTGGAGACCGTCCGCTCTCCCCTCTCTCCCACAAAGGGTTAACCTCTGCCCCACCCCTTCCTTACCCTGTAAGGAGAATGGTCCATTACAGGTGAGCTGGCGTTGCCTTGGAGACCGCAGCCTAGTAGGGGCTGAGGGCGTGCTCTCCCTGAGGGTGGGGCGAGGCTGGGACTCAGCAGCTTCCTCTAAGACTTCCGGCTGCCCCCCCCACCCCCCCACCTCGGTACCTGTGGGGGCTCCCACCCAGGAGCCTCTTTTCTGTAGTATCTAAATTACCCATTAGGCTGCGGCAAGCTTTCCTCCCTTCTTCCCCCATCTTCGCCAGTGGAGGGAGCTGGCTCCCATCTCCATGGAAACCCGCCAGCCACAGCCTGGTGGGGAGGGCGAGGAGGAGCCTTAAAGAAACACAGTGCCTGGGGTGGAGGTGACACCCACCCCACCCCATTTGTATACCCACCGACAGCCTGGAAGATTCCCCACCAGCCCTGCTGAGCAGACAGCCCAGATGTAGGTGGTCCCAAGTACCCCTTCAGGCCTACCAGATCATGGCCCTGGCACTGCCACTCTGGGCTATCTTATATACCCAGGCTGAGCCCTCAGCCCTGCCCCCTGCTCGGAACTGACTGGCGGGGCCAGCTTCCTGTGGCATGGGCATTTCTGTCCATGGGAAGGGGCCGGGAGGAGGCCAGCCAGGAGGTTCCCAGAGTGTGTGCAAGCAGAAAAGCAGCCCTCCCAGATCTCAGCCTGGCTTCACGACCTCCCGAGTGTGCCCCCCGCCACAACCCCACCCTGTCCCCATTTAGAGGATGGAGGCCAGGGGAGAGGACTGGCCTGAGGATTCGGGCTGTGGCCGGGGTGGGGCTCCTCCAGGGTCTCACTGAGGTGCTCCCTGCTGGCTCTTGCACCTCGGAGCCTGCCACACCCTTTCTCCCTCCCTGCCTGCCCCTGTTGAGCTGGCCCTTGGATGCACGGGCACTCCGTCTGCCCTGGGGCAGCTCGCTGAATGCCAGCAGAAATCTTGGAGGGAGGTCCTCTGAGTGCTTGTCCCTCCTCCCTTGTGGGACTCTCCACCTGCTTCCTAAGGGTCTGCCAGCAGCAGCTTGTTTCATCTGTAACCGCCCCCCATCCTACGGCCACAAGTGGCCAGGATCCTGCCACTCTATATCTGTTGTTACAGGCTTTGTTTGTCTCTGCCTTCTGTTGATCTCTCCACTGTCCAGCCTGACCTCCGAGCCCAAGAAGCCCCATTCCTGTGACTCGGGTCCATCTCCTCCCCCCCCCCCAACCCTGGCCCTTGCCTGGCACACCCCTGTCTACAAGGATGCAGAAAAGGTGCCCCTGGGCTTGCGCCTGGGCACACACTCACACACACACTTGAGCATACACGCACATACACACCCCTCACTCATCTTGGTCTTTTGGCCATTTCTCATCAGTTGCTTTTTGCTTTTTGTCTCATCCTTTGTGCTCCTCACCCTTCTCCTCTCCCTTTCCCCGCTGCTCAGGTCTCTGTTTCTGGGTTTCTCCACGTGGGTTACTGTGGTGGTCCAGCATCTGTCTTTGTCTCTCATTCCCTGCTCCCCCAGCCCTCCTGCTCTGTCTCTCCTGTTCCCTCCTGCCTCTTTCTCACCCTGTCTGTCACCTTTCAGTCTTCCGCAGCCTGCCCCACCAGCGCCACCCCCTCCCCCCCGCCTTTGCAGACGTGGCCTTGGCTCCATCTGTACACCAGCTTGTGGAACACTCCCCCGCCTCCTTTGCCCCTGGAGGTGCTGATGGGGGGTGGGGGGCCTGCTGCGCTGACAACCTGAGCTACTTGCTCTGTAATTGCCTGAGGAATGGGGAGAGATCAGAGACCCAGCCACAGCTGTCAGGGGCGTCCCCAACTTCTGGCTCCTGCCTGGACTCCGAGGGCCTGGGAAGGTGGTGAGCTGGGTGGCAAAGACCAGGAGACTAAAAGAGGTTGAATGTGAGACTGTGGGGTGTCAGGATGGGGCAGTGAGTGGAGCCCATGGGGATTGGGGCTATCCTGTATCCCCTGCATATACACCAGGGTACACACGCCAAACCCCATTCTGGGGACAAGCAGCCATCCTCTTTCCAGCAAAAGGGAGTGCTCCAGCCTCACAGGCCAGAAGGACGGCCTTGAAGATTCTTGCTTGTCTCCCTCCCCTCCCCCTCTGAAGACCAGAGCACTCAGAGCTCCCAAGGCGGCTGTTTGATTGCCTGCCCTCTGATCTGAGTCTCCTACTTCCTACAGGCCTTGAAGCTGAGGCCAAGGCCGCGTGAGGCCCACCCGGCTTGCATTGACTTGGTGGACCTCCTCCTTTCTGGGACCCAGTTTGGCTCTTGCCCTCAGGAAGTGACCAGGCCATTGCCACTTCCTTACTCTCCTGGTCACTCTCTCAGCCATCAGCCTGTCCATGTTGACCCACCCAGGTGCTTCCTTCCCCGCCTCCCCCTCCAGCTTTGGGTCTGGGAGTCTGAGAGCTCTAGGCTGACAGCTATTCGCCACTGTCCATTTTGCCTGCCGGGTCCTGGGGCAGTCTGCTGAATTCACCATGATTCTTGGGTCACCTTCTACAAAACCAAGCTGTGGCTTCTGGCTGCCTCCTGATTGACTGAGTCTGAATGTCTTGGCATGGCATTCCAGGCCTCCCCACCCACTGCTCCAGCCTTCTGGATGAGGCTGGTCCCCATTTTGGCCAGGTCCTGGCTGGGAGGGAGTTTGCCTGGGATGGACTTGGTGAGCTCAGGCATGACATCCAGGCTCCAGCCCCCAAGCTCTCAGTCACTTTTACTTTTGTCTTTTTCTCACACCTCTTCCTGTTTGGGGGTCACAACTCTCTGTCTTCTTGGGAGTGTCTCTTTTTCTCATCGTTGGCAGAGAAGTGCCCTCCACTGGGCCCTCGGTCACTGGGGCTTCTTGCATGCAGAGGTGGCCTGTGCATATAGCTGGCAGACTTGGGCTTGGGGTGGACGCATCTATCAGTTGAGCCCTGAAGACTCAAAAAAAAAAAAAAAAAATCCAGAAGGTGGGCCTGCAAGACACTCTAGATGTAAGAAATGCTGTCCCAGAGCTTTCCCTGAGCCCTGCTCTGAGCCTGGCTTGCAGCATCTGGAAGGGGGGAGGCCACAGTTGCCTCTGTTGACCCCCTAGGAGCCCGAGGGACAGCTGAGAGGTGCTTTCCTCGACTCTCTTCTGCCACTTCTTGAGGGCAGGCTTCCTTTCCCCTTCTTTTTTTCTCAACCTGTTCAATGAAATGCAGCCTTCTTGGTTCCCTTCTCTTCTTGTCCTGTTCCCACTTCCCAAGTCTCCCTATCCCCCACCAGGTTTTTAGGTCTGAACAGCACCCAGGGATCAGTTGGTTCCGAAACCCCCAGCAATGAGACTGTGACAAGGGTTCATCTCTACATATGTGTGCATGCATGCTGTGTGTGCACACAGAGATAGCAGACAGGAGTCATCCCCCAGAGACACAGATGCGCAGGAGCAGACGCCCTTACTTCTGCGTGCCTGCAGTCATACACACACCCACTCATGAGTGCCTCCCGGTTCCAGAGAAGAGGGACATGTCCTCCTGCGTGTATGCACATAGCCACACAGCTACTGCACACCCACATCCACACTCATGCCCACAGGCCCCTGCTTATGGGACCTTGAGTCACACATCGGGAGGACGGGCACAGAGAAGCCTGTGGCAGGCCCAGGGGAGCGGATGGGGCAACAAGTTGGTGGTGCCGGAGAGGCAGCTGGTGAAGGAGGCACGGCCATCAGGAAGGGAATGAAAGGCGAACTGGAGGCCCAGACTCTGCTGGTCTCTTCCAGGTTTTCTTCTTCAAAATGGGGGGGTAGGGGGAGGGAAGAGTGAAGGGGGCGGGGCCGGGGGCGGGGCCAGGAGCCCAGGCTCGCCCAGATGTTAGTCACTAACATCCGTCCGTTCTCTCTCCTCCCTTACCTTGCCCTTCCCTTCCTCCCCTCTTGCATTCCCCCCACCCCCGGCTCCCTCCCGCAGGCACCCACCAGCCACCCTTCCCTCCGGCCTGAGCTTTAGCCGAGCCCGGCCGGCTTTGCCGCGCCGAGCCGCCGGCGCCTCCGGGAAGATGGCCATGGCGCTGCGGTACTTGTGGCCTCTCCTCCTCTGCAGCCCTTGCGTGCTCATCCAGATCCCCGAGGAATGTGAGTAATCGGAGGGCGCCGCGGCGCCTCCCTTCCCCGCCGCGCTGGGCTTTTCTTTATTTTCTGCCTCCTCACTTTCTCTGGGTTCCAGACCCCCCGCCCTTCCCTTCCTGGGGACCCGGAGTGCGCAAGAGGTACCCGGACTTTGGATCACCCCCTGGAAAGTAGAGGGTAGAAGACTCGGGCTATATCAGTACCACGGACAGGGACCAGAGACGCGGGAGGGCGGTTGCTGTTTCAGCACCAAGGACAGCGGGCCTGGCGCCTGACCCGCCCCCTTGGGCCTCAGTACCGGCCCCACCCCGCCAAGGATGGGGCAAGCGCGAGAATGTCCTCAGCTAGCTAGACCAAGCCTCACTCCGGCTTCTGACTTGAGTAATCCTATCTGGGGCCCTTGGTAGCCCTTTCCGTGAACTGAGACAGGAAAAGACCCCTTGGGAAGATCCAGCAGCCTTCTGGATCCTTAAAATGTGATGTGTAGTTGCTTGGTGGGGGGTTGGAGGTGGGGCTGTTGGAGTAATCCCTTCGAGGGGGCTTCCTGGGGAGGGTGACCACAGGGCTGTGACTGAAAGCGAGTATTTGTGTATACTTTTGAGCTGGACAGACTGTGTAATTTGAATATATTTTTAGATGTGTGTGGTGTGATACATTGACTAAGTGGGGATATTCCCGAGTGTGATTTTGATGTCCTGTGTAGGTAAGTTTGTGAGTCACTATAACCGCTTCTTACTGGTCACATTTGTGAAGCTCTGTAGGTATTTGACTGTTGACATTGGATTGTACTAGTGAGTCATACGGGCCTGTGAGTACCTGTGTGTGGACCGTATGTTACTGTGGATGTTTTCTCCTGAGTGTGAGGAGATATAAACACACTGCTATAAGCGGCTTTGGGGCTTGTGTGAGGGACAGTTGACATGGTAGCATTTTTGTATCTTAAATCTGCTCCTTGTTCGCCCTAGTAGCTTTCCCCCTCACCTTTCCACCTTTGTCTCTGAGCCTGCACCTGTTGGAGGCCAGCATCACTGAGAGATGAGCTGTGCACTGAGGCTGGGGGAGACTGTCCAAGCCAGGAATGGGTCAGGGGCTGAGAGAGGTGACCATGACTGGCCCCTGGCATTGAGGGGCCCTGAGAGTTTGCAGGAGGTGGGGAGGGTCTGATGGGAAGAAAGGTTGGGACTGTCTCCCTAGATATACACATGGAGCTCCATGCAGTCACACCCGAAGCCCTACCCCAGCTGCAGAAGCACACGGACCAGCCACCTGTATCCAGCCAGGCACAGAGACCCCCCAAGAGGACACACGGGGGCACACAGGCACACACAAGTGAGAGGCTGAGATACAAAGGAACACAGCCATCCACATGAACACAGGAGCGGGTAGGCCACACAGAGTCGTACAGTAAATGCAGGCAGGCACTCACAGCCTTCCAAGGTACTCTGGCCAGACACGTCCGTATAGAGGCACACGGGCAGATGCTCACAACGTCACTGCAGCACTGCCTGAGGCATGCCCACGTGTGCCCAGACTCATACTTTGGCACATTCCCACACATGCGTTCGTCCACCTCCCCCTTCATCTCCCCCCAGCAGCCTTCAGGCCTTACCCTACTATGCCTGTGTGTGGAGGGGCATCAGAGACCCACGGTGGGTCTAAGGGGGCCCTGGGCACTGGCTGGCACTTGTTATTGACCCTGATGCAACATGGCAAGCAACCTAGTGCCTCCCGGTTGGAAGCTTTCCTCCAGCTCTCTCCCTCCCTGGCCGCTCCAGGCCCCTTTGTCTCCTTCCCCGCTTGCCCCATCCTGTGGTCCCTCTCACTGTCTCTGCCTCTCGGGCTGCCTTCACTGGCCCCTCCCCAGCACAGAACCCTCTCTGCAGTGTCCCCAGGGAGCCCCATCCTCTCTCCTGGGGGCCCCTACCCTGAGGTCTTCCGCAGAAACAAAAGCTTTCAGAGGCAGCCCACTGCTGTCAGCCACCCTGGCCAGTGCTCTGCTGAAGCCTGGTGGCACTGGGGGCAGAAGCCCCGGGCCTCAGCTCCAGGGAACTTGGCAGCAGACTGGGAGGAAGGAAGGGGAGAAATTGAGGCCTGGTGCTGGGCTGGCAGGCCCTGGAAACTCAGATTCAGCAGGGCCTTAGGGAGGATTTGGAGGAGAGGGGGCCGCTGGGCTCCGAAGGCTGGGTCCTGGGTAATTGAAAACACTGAGCTGTGCTAATTGGATTAGGAGGGATACGAGCTGGAGCAGGGGAGTGTGCCCTGGCTTCTATAGGCAGGCTGTCTGCCTCTCTGTCTCCCGAGGCATCCTGGGTGGAGGGCGGGGGGGTCAGTTCTGCAGGCCCTGCCAGGAGGAGGCAAGGATCTGGCCACAGCGCAGTCTTTGTTAAAGTCACAGATTTCTTTCTCCCTGCCCCTGGAGCTGAGGCCTACTGGCCCTGGCCATTGCCCCACCCCAGGGCTGGCGATCAGGCTGTCCTGGAGGTCTTGACCTTGCCATAGCTGTAGCATGGCGTGTGTCCCCTTCTTACACCCTCTCCCAGCCTCCCCCTCCCCCAGGGTTGTCTGTACTTCTTTCTGCCCAAGTCATCGGGCGACTTGTCAGCCTTTCTCTCATTCTCTCCCTTGCTGCATGGATCTCTCAGATGAAGGACACCATGGTAAGTTGGGGGGAGGGTGGAAATGTTTCCCAGGAGGCCCTGTATGCCTTGTGCCTCATGCAGGCTGCAGTCTTTGCTGGTTCTTGGGTCCTGTGGCACCTGGCGGGGGGTGGCCTTGTTCTGTCTCCAGCAGGTGGGTTTCCTCCCTGGCTCTCCACCTGTCTCTGGTGGTCCACCCTTCCCTCTGGTCCTCCTCTGTCTCCCGTGAGGGGTTTGCCCTGCTTGGTGCCTCTGTCTTTGACTTCCCCTGTCTCTTTTTTCTTTCTTTCACATGCTTTGTCTTTCTGTTTGGCTTCTTCTCTCTCTTCTAGTTTCTTTCTCTGTAACTTTTGGTGCCATCCTCTCTGTTCTGGTCCCATCCACCTTTGCCCAGCTGCTTTGGGCTCAACTTGCTTCTTCCCACCCCGCAACCCCATGGCCATGTGGCCTGTCAGGCTCCACACCCGGCTTCTGTCCCCACGGGACAAGGGTGAGGGCTGAAGTGCTCACCACATCTGTCTCCCCTCCCGCCCCAGTGATGGAACCCCCCATCATCACGGAGCAGTCTCCCCGGCGTGTGGTCGTCTTCCCCACAGATGACGTCAGCCTCAAGTGTGAGGCCAGCGGCAAACCCGAAGTGAAGTGAGTGACCATCACCTTCTAAGCCCTGGGGCTGACCACTGACTTGACCCCCCAGACCTTGTGGTCCCCGGGGCCTTCCCCCTCCTGGGCATCCCTCGCCAGCCAGGGTCGTCACCCTGGCCCAGGCCCTGGCCCGGCTGCCCGGCTTCAGGCCTCCTCTGAGCCTTTTTCTGCCCCACAGCTTTCGCTGGACTCGGGATGGCGTCCTCTTCAAACCCAGAGAGGAACTGGGCGTGACCGTGAACCAGGCACCCCATTCTGGCTCCTTCAGCATCACGGGCAACAGCAGCAACTTCGCCCAGAGCTTCCAGGGCACCTATCGCTGCTTTGCCAGCAACAAGCTGGGCACTGCCATGTCCCACGAGATCCAGCTCATGGCTGAGGGTGCGAGGCGCTGTGGGGACCGGGGAGAGTCTGGGGCTCATGAGCGGGTCCCCAAAACCGATCTGCCGAACACATGTGAGGCTCCAACCTGAAAGCCGAGCTCTCTCAGCTGGTTGTTAAGAGTGCCAAGGGACCGGGCACCCTGCTGGCCCGCAGCCACCTCTTCCCTACTCGCCCTGTTCTTTTGCCACTCTTTCTGGTCAGCTTCATCCCCCCTTCCCTCTCTTCTGTGCTTTGCCCCTCTTGGCCTTGGGGCTTGCTGCCTGGGGGGCGGGGAGTGCCCTGGGAGGGCTTGTTGACTGAAGGAGGGCAGGACTGAGCCTGTCTGAGCCCGGGCTTTGGCTTCTACCCCATCCATCCCTGAGTTGCTGTCTGCTCTCCACCACCCTCTGGTCATCTCCTCCCACGTCCCCTCCATCACTGTGTCTCCTCTCCCCTCCGTTGTGCACCTCTCACCTGACCCCTCTGGCTTCCCTCTTACCGCTGTCTGCCTCTGTCTTTATCTGTGTCGCCCTCTCCCTGGGGTTTCCCCCCTCCAGCATTCCATCCTCCTCTGTGAGCTTTCTGCCTCCCGAGCTTGCACTCATCTCTTCTCCTCTGCCCCTCCAGTTACCTTGGGAACCGTTGCCATGGTTTCTGTGTCAGGATGATGGAAGGGGCTGTGACTCCAGCATCCCACCACGGCTCCCCTCCCCCCATCGCTGCACCTCAGCCTTCCCCCACCCGCCCTCATCCCTTCCTCCTGGTGGGAGCTGAGAGTTGTAGAGAGTTAACCCTTCATGGCCATCTGGCCTCCGGCCCATCCTCTCATCTGCACGCTGCACTGGTCTCGGCCTTGAGCCCAGAGAGGATCCAGAGTCCTCTGCCTCCCTCATGTGCTGCCTCATCAACCTGCGTCCTCGGGTAGCCCTCCTCCTCTCCCTCTACCTTGCCTTCACCAGGAAGAGACTGGAGACTCCACGGGGCCAGCCTCTCTGTGCCTTCCAGGTACCCCCAAGTGGCCAAAGGAGACAGTGAAACCTGTTGAGGTCGAGGAAGGGGAGTCGGTGATTCTCCCTTGCCACCCGCCCCCCAGTGCAGAGCCGCTCCGGATCTACTGGATGAACAGCAGTGGGTGCCCATGAGGGGCTGTCGCCAGGGGCAGGGGACGGGTCAGTGGGTGTATGTTCCCGGGGAAGGGCTCCTGACCTCTGACCTCTGCTTCCTTCCTTCCCCCCACCCCCCCTCCCGCCCACAGAGATCTTGCACATCAAACAGGATGAGCGGGTGACCATGGGCCAGAATGGCAACCTCTACTTTGCCAACGTGCTCACCTCAGACAACCACTCAGACTACATCTGCCATGCCCACTTCCCTGGCACTCGAACCATCATTCAAAAGGAACCCATTGACCTCCGGGTCAAAGCCAGTGAGTCCCAAAGGCTCTGATACACTGCCCTACTCTTCTCCTACCCTCATGGTACATCCCATCAGTCTTCTTCGAAGACAGCATGGCCCACATGCCTTCCCTGGGTGGTGAGGGCAGAGATGGGGCCCTCTCTTTAAGAAGACGAGGAGAAGGAAATGGCAACCCACTCCAGTATTCTTGCCTGGAAAAGTCCATGGACAGAGGAGCCTGGTGGGCTGCAGTCCATGGGGTTACATGACTGAGCATGTGTGCATGAGGGTGGAGGGAGATAGGTTGGTAGCAATAAACTGGTAGAACTAAAAGAAAAAGAAAAAGACGACAATGAAACTGAGGCTTGGAGGGCTCCCTGGGGTGTCCAGAGTCACCCAGCCTGGGAACATCGTGGGTGGGGGTGGAAGAGTGCACCATGCTGCCCACTCTGTCTCCTCACAGCCAACAGCATGATGGACAGAAAGCCACGCCTGCTCTTCCCCACCAACTCTAGCAGCCACCTGGTGGCCCTGCAGGGGCAGCCCTTAGTCTTGGAGTGCATCGCTGAGGGATTGTGAGTCTGGGTCCCCTGGGAGGTGCGGGGCAGGGGTGGAGCCTCTTGTGGGGCGGGGCGGGGGCGGAACCTCTGCCGTGGGGCAGGGCTGAGCGGCCGGGTCCTTTCTCCCCTCTGCTGTCTCCCTTGGTCTCCGTTCGTGGTGGCCCCGGGCAGCCCCACGCCCACCATCAAGTGGCTGCGCCCAAGCGGCCCCATGCCAGCCGACCGGGTCACCTACCAGAACCACAACAAGACGCTGCAGTTGCTGAACGTGGTCGAGGAGGATGACGGCGAGTACCGCTGCCTGGCTGAGAACTCGCTGGGCAGTGACCGCCACGCCTACTACGTCACCGTGGAGGGTATGGCGCCATTGCGGGCATTCAGGCAGCCAGAATGCCATGCCCATAGTCACGGGGGGTGGGGGTGGGCAGAGTCAGGGCCGGCCCGGGAGCTGGCCGCCTGCTGTGAGCTCAGATTGGTTCTCCCCTTCCTGGCAGCTGCGCCATACTGGCTACACAAGCCCCAGAGCCATCTGTACGGGCCAGGGGAGACTGCCCGCCTGGACTGTCAAGTGCAGGGCAGGCCCCAACCGGAGGTCACCTGGAGAATCAACGGGATCCCTGTGGAGGGTAAGCAGGGCTTTGAGCAGGGATGGGGAGCGAGGCTGGGGGGCCCAAGGGATAGTGACTCACTGCCCTGCCCTGGGCCCACGGCCCATCTGCCATCCCTGCAGAGCTGGGCAGGGACCAGAAGTACCGGATCCACCATGGAGCCCTGGTCCTGAGCAACCTGCAGCCCAGTGACACTATGGTGACCCAGTGTGAGGCCCGCAACCGCCACGGGCTCCTGCTGGCCAATGCCTACATCTATGTTGTGGGTGAGTGTCAGCCACTTTGCCTTAGAGCCCCCTGGTCCATCCCTGTAGCCCTGCCCCGGGCAAGGCCACCAGGCCGACTCAGCCACCAGCTGGTCTGTGTGCAGTGGCTGCTCTGCTCCCCACGTCTCCCGCCCATCCTGCCAACAGCGGGGCAGGGTCTTGCTGGTATTTCCAGACGAAAAAGCAGCCCCTGAGCATGGTCCCTGAGCACAGGCTCACCCTGGCCAGGATGCTTCTGTCCCCAAGCCTCGGAGAAGGTGGGCTTGGGGAGACCCAGAGAGCTTTCAGGAAGAGGCAGGCTGTCAGCGGGTGGGGGGGAGCCTCACATAATTGATAGGACATGGGAGACTGAGACAAGAGGCCAAGAGAGGCTCAGCCTGGCAGGGGCTGTAGCCGGTCGCAGGGAAGCAAGATGGGCAGGGCTCACGGGGGCCTGGTGGAGTCACTGTCAGCTTCCAGAGGCTGCCAGCTCTCCTGGGAGAAGCTGCCCTGGTGATCCCTGTGTCTGCCTGCTGACCGCATGTGGGTGCTCACCAAGCCCTGAGTTCGGCCCTGTCTCCCATGACTGCTCCTCGCTCAGAGCTGCCGGCCAAGATCCTGACCCCAGACAATGAGACATACATGGCAGTCCAAGGCAGCACCGCCTACCTTCTGTGCAAGGCCTTCGGAGCCCCTGTGCCCAGCGTCCAATGGTGCGTGCCCTGACCCTGGCGGCAGGGGGTGGGGGACACCTGGAAGCCATCTTCCAGACCAGGCAACCAGGTAGGGCCAGGGGTCCCACCCACTGGGGTCTGAGTGAGGCCTTCCTTGCTTGTCCCAGGCTGGACAGGGACGGAAAGACAGTGCTGCAGGACGAGCGCTTCTTCCCCTATGCCAATGGGACCCTGGGCATCCGAGACCTCCAGGCCAATGACACTGGGCACTACTTCTGCCAGGCTGCTAACGACCAAAGCAACATGACCATTGTGGCTAACCTGCAGGTCAAAGGTCCGATGCCCCTCCCTGCTGCTGCTGATTGTAGCTAGCAGCCCCTCCCCAAGGGAGGGTCAGGGTCTCTGGGGGACCCTGGAATGACCTCCCCCTTCTCATCCTCATCTTCAGATGCCACTCGGATCATGCAGGGGCCCCGCAGTGCAATCGAGAAGAGAGGCTCCCGAGTGATGTTCACGTGCCGGGCCTCCTTTGACCCCTCCCTGCAGCACAGCACCACCTGGCGCAGGGATGCTCTCGACCTGCAGGAGCTGGGGGACAGTGACAAGTGCGGGCCCAGCCCTAACCTGGGCTTGGCAGATTCGGGGGGCAGAGGGGGAGAAAAGCAGGATGCCCAGACCTCCTGGCCTCATCCATGGGGGCAGGGGTGTGACCCGGTGTTGAGCACGAGGACCTGGCAGGAGAGGGAGGAGGGAGGAGTGGCATGTGGGGGGGGCAGGGAGTCGTGGGTCCCCTGGGGGGGCTGGAAGGACAACTGTGCCCCCACCCCCCACCCCTCACCAGGTACTTCATAGAAGACGAGCGCCTGGTCATCCACAGCCTGGACTACAGCGACCAGGGCAACTACAGCTGCGTGGCCAGTACCAAGCTGGACATGGTGGAGAGCCGGGCAGAGCTGCTGGTGGTGGGTGAGTCCCCAGAGGGTATCCGCCTCATGGCACAGAGGCGAGGGAGACACGAGAGCCCAGGCATCCGTCGCAGGGGAAGTGGGCCAGCTGGGTCGTGAGTGGGCCCGAGATCCAACTCCTGTGGCCCCCAGGGAGCCCCGGACCCGTGCCCCAGCTGGAGCTGTCTGATCGCCACCTGCTGAAGCAGAGCCAGGTGCGCCTGTCTTGGAGCCCGGCTGATGACCACAATGCCCCCATTGAGAGTAAGAAGACAGCAGCATGGTGCTCTGTTCGCCCTCCCTCCTGGCTCCCTGTCCCTTCCTCCAGGAGAGTCAGACTTTGCACGCCCCCCCTGACTTGCCACCCACCAATGACTCCACCGCCGGTTCACTTCTTGGCAGAGTATGACATTGAATTTGAGGACAAGGAGATGGCGCCTGAGAAGTGGTACAGCCTGGGCAAGGTGCCCGGGAACCAGACCTCCACCACCCTCAAGCTGTCGCCTTATGTCCACTATACCTTTCGAGTCACTGCCATCAACAAATACGGCCCTGGGGAGCCCAGCCCAGCCTCTGAGACTGTGGTCACACCGGAGGCAGGTGAGCGCCAGGGAAAGTCAGGAAAAGGGACAGTGCCCAAGCTCCCTTACTGCCAGGGGTTCCCCTGGGGCGGCAGCTGCCTCCTGACATCCAGGGCCACAACAGGTCATTTCTTCCTTGGTCTTCGGCCTTCATGGCCTTAGTGGGCGTCCACAGCATTGATGTGTCCACATTACTTTGCAGCCCCGGAGAAGAACCCCGTGGACGTGAAGGGGGAAGGAAACGAGACCAACAACATGGTCATCACTTGGAAGGTGAGGGCCCTGGGCCGAGCTCACCTATGGACCTCAGATCAGGACTCAGGGGTTTGCTACCCCCTCAAAAAGCTGGCTGTCCTAAGGACCAGGGACCTTAGGAGCTTCTTTTTTGCTCTCCCCCTCTAGCCGCTACGGTGGATGGACTGGAATGCCCCCCAGGTTCAGTATCGAGTGCAGTGGCGCCCCCAGAAGATGCAGGGGGCCTGGCAGGAACAGATAGTCAGTGACCCCTTCCTGGTGGTGTCCAATACATCTACTTTTGTGCCGTATGAGATCAAAGTCCAGGCCGTCAACAGCCAGGGCAAGGGCCCCGAGCCCCAGATCACCATCGGCTACTCTGGGGAGGACTGTGAGTATCAGGTTGGCCCTGCCCATACGCGGGGGGTGGGGTGGAGCCTGCATGTGCCTCCCTGGCCCACTCTCCACCCCCCACTCAGGGATCCGGCCCAGTGCCAGCTCCTACCTCTTAATATAGTGCATTCCCTAAGAGTAAGGCTATTTGCTTACATAACTGAAGAGCTATCTTGCAAATCCAGAAAGACACTGACCATCCATAAGTTGGCATCTATAACTTAACTGTCTGTTTTGATGGCAGCCGATACCCCCAATGTGGGACCCAGGACTGTCTTTCTTGCAGTCCATGGTCCAAGTCAGGATCTCCCGCATGGCGTCCACTTATCCTGCTTCTTCCCTTGCCTCAAATCTAGAACATCACCAAATGTTTAGTTTGATTTTGCAGTCAAGATCTTTTCTAGTTCCTCTGTCACGTAGTTACTATTTTCTCTCTCTTTGAGGAGAGACCCTGAGACCATGCGAATGCCCTTGCTCATTAAACTGCCCACCTGTCACATCACATCCAAATCCATCTTCCCACTGTGGGTGGGCGGAGTCCTGGGCTGGCCTCATCTATGTCACCGGCCCTTTGCAGACCCCCAGGCAAGCCCTCTGCTGGAACCTGTCGAGGCCCTCAATTCAAGCACTGTGCTGGTCAGGTGGCAGTCTGTGGACCCAGCCCTGGTCAAGGGCCACCTCCGGGGATACAATGTAAGAATCCATCATGTGGGGGCTGGGGAAATCCCCGGGGTGATGGGTGGGGCAACCAGGAGTGACAGGACTGGGGCTGGGTTTCTGCCAGCTGCTCCCTTGGGAGGGCCGTGAGGAACACATGCTTCTCACCCCACCCTACCCCTACCTGGGTCACTGCCAGACACTTTCTGTCCTTCTGGAGTCTCCTATCCACCTGCAGGTGACATACTGGTGGGAAGGCAGTCAGAGGAAGCACAGCAAGAGGCACATCCACAAAGGCCACGTGGTGGTGCCAGCCAATGCCACCAGTGCCATCCTGGGAGGCCTGCGGCCCTACAGCTCCTACCGGCTGGAAGTTCAGGCCTTTAATGGGCGGGGACTGGGGCCTGCCAGCAGGGTGACCTTCAACACCCCTGAGGGAGGTGAGCTCTGTGCCCTGCACCCCTGCCTCCACACCCCCCATCCCTTCCCACCTGGGGTGACCAGGGCAAGGACTTGCCACTGGTCTCTGTGCCCTGCAGTGCCTGGACACCCCGAGTCGTTGCACCTGGAGTGCCAGTCAGACACCAGCCTGCTGCTGCACTGGCAGCCTCCACTCAGCCATAACGGCGTGCTCACGGGCTACGTGCTCTCCTACCAACCTCGTACGTGTGTTGTGGGCCCGGCCAGGAGGGGGAGGGGAGAGCCGGGGAGTGGGCCACACTGGGGGCCAAAGCCCACTGCTCACCTGTCCTTGCAGTGAACGACGGGAGCAAGGAGCAGTTGTCCTTTGACCTTCCGGACCCTGAGCTGCGGACACACAACCTGACCAATCTCAGCCCCCGCTTGCGGTACCGATTCCAGCTGCAGGCCACTACGAAGGAGGGCCCGGGGGAGGCGATTGTGCGGGAAGGAGGCACCATGGCCTTATCTGGTGAGCTGGCGGGGGCTCCAGGCAGGCGGCGGGGGCTCCAGGCAGGCGGCGAGGGCAGGCCTTGGGGCGGCCTCCAGGTCCCGTGACCCTTCTCTCCATCACCAGGAATGCCGGACTTTGGCAACATCTCCGCCATGGCTGGCGAGAATTACAGCGTGGTCTCCTGGGTCCCCAAGGAGGGCCAGTGCAACTTCGGGTTCCAGATCTGGTTCAAAGCCCTGGGGGGTGAGCCTCAAAAGGGGGTTCAGGGCCCAGAGGGGCTGGGGCTGGCATGGACCCAGGGTGCTGCCAGGCCCTCCCTGCTCAGTCGGATTGCCCTCGCCCCCTACAGACGAGAAACTGGTGGCTCGTCTCCCGCCACAATACGTCAGCTACAACCAGAGCTCCTACACGCAGTGGGACCTTCAGCCTGACACTGACTATGAGATCCAGCTGCTCAAGGAGCAGGTGCTCCTGCACCAGATGGCGGTGAAGACCAACGGCACTGGTGCGGGGGCCACGGGCAGGCCTAGTCAGCTTCCCTCCATCCCTGGACTGCCCACTGCCCCACCAGAACCTCTGTGCCCCTAGGCCCGTGATGGAGAAAAGTCCGGGTCCCTGAAAAGAGCCCTTTTTTTTCATATCCTCCACTGGTCCTGTTGCCAGGGAAGCCATTTCTACTGAAGGTCTTCCTCCCTGTTCCCCCAGAGGGCCCCCCAACTTTCCCTTCCCGCATCAGCTCACCCCTCCTCCAGGCTGTCTGAAGTCCTCAGACATCCTCAGCTGCTCCTGTGAAGTCCCTGGCATGGGGGTTCCCTGGCATGGGGGGTTGGCAGGGTTGGGGATTGGCAGGGGACAGAGCCAGAGGCTTAGAGGGAGGCCCTTGCCCAAGGCCGGGGACTGATGGGGCAGGCCCAGGTCCTGCAACTGCAGTGCCCCTGGGGGCCCCCTGCGTTCAACCCTGGCCTTGGCCTCAGTCTCTGGCCTCCTCTCCCCTCCCCAGGCCGAGTGAGACTGCCTCCCACTGGCTTTGCCACCGAGGGCTGGTTCATCGGCTTTGTCAGCGCCATCGTCGTCCTGCTTCTTGTCTTACTCATCCTGTGCTTCATTAAGCGCAGCAAGGGTGGCAAGTACTCGGGTACATCCCGGCTGTGCCCCCCTTCCCGCTTGGTCCCTGAGCCCGGGCAAGACAGCATGGGCGTGCTGGGGGCGGCGGGCAGGTGGCCCAAGGGGAGTTGTCGGCGTTGAGTGTGCGAAGGACTGGGCCCATGTGCCTGGGGCCGGGCTGGGTGATGTGGCATGGTGAGCAGCTGGGCCCATTCTGTGTCTGCAGTGAAGGACAAGGAGGACACCCAGGTGGACTCGGAGGCCCGGCCCATGAAGGACGAAACCTTCGGAGAGTACAGGTGAGCTGGGGGCGGAGCCCATGCCCCCAGGCCGCCCAGTGGCACACTTTGTGTGCGTGACTGCATCTCTTTGTCTCTCCTTTGTGCTGCGGGGTTGACGGCAGGTCCCTGGAGAGGTAAGGCTGGGCTGTCACACTCGGGGGGCAGGAACCCTCCTGTGGGTGCTTTGTGCCAGGCCAGTGCACTCCGCATGCCTCCCAATCCTACAATTTCCTGGTTCAGGGACCAACCAACAACGCTGACACTCAGCTCCCAAGCCTCCCTGTCCCTGTCCCTGTCTCCAGGGACGGGCTGGATGGGCACCCCTGCTCAGCCCGTCTGGAGACGGGCGCCCCCACACCCCCAGGGTGCAGGCATGTAAGCTGCACGTGTCCAGAGTGAGGGCCTTGTCCCCAGTGTGCTCAGAACACACAGAAGGGGGGTCAAACCCAGGCCTACCGTCTCAGGCCAGAGGCTGCCTGCTCCTGCTGGGTACCATCAGGCCATCTCACACGGTCCCTGCCCTCCCCTTGCAGTGACAACGAGGAGAAGGCCTTTGGTAGCAGCCAGCCATCACTCAACGGAGACATCAAGCCCCTGGGCAGTGATGACAGCCTAGCCGACTACGGAGGCAGCGTGGATGTCCAGTTCAATGAGGATGGCTCCTTCATCGGCCAGTACAGCGGAAAGAAGGAGAAGGAGGCAGCAGGGGGCAATGACAGCTCCGGGGCCACATCCCCTGTCAACCCTGCCGGGACCCTGGAGTAGCGGGGTCCGGCCAGGCCAGGCAGAGCACCGCCCAGGTTGTGGAGCTGTCAGAGGTCACCACAATGGCCCAGCCCGAGACCTGTGCTGGGTCCCTGACCCTGGGACTGAGGCCCGTCCTTCTCTCCAGTGAGTTGGGGGGCCTCAGTGCCCCCTTCTGACTCCCCGGTCCCCACTTGATTGCCAAAACCCAGCTGCTCTGCTTCTTGGGCACACACTGCTTTTTCACTCCAGCTCGGGGGCCACTCACATGCCAGGAGCTTTCAGGTGCTGCCTTGCCGGCCTTTGGGCAGGGTGAGGCTGTGATTGGGGCGAGGAGGCAGGCACAGCTGTTGAGGGGCTCTCCCCAGGACCACGGTTGGCACCTCCAGCCCCAGCCACTCGTTGGCCAGTCGGACTGGGACAGGGGACCAAAGTCGATGTCCCCGCCATCTGCCCCATCGTCTTGGCCATCTCTGCTCCAACTGGGATGGGAACTGAACAAGCTGGCCACAGGTACAGAGGGGGCCATCTAAACAGACCAGAGTCCCCCTCCCTGACTGCCTGTGTCAACTTGGCCCACCCCACCCTGCAGCTGGCTTTCAGGAGTTCCAGACACATGCTGCCTTCGGTGCCCACCACACAACATCCAAGTGGGCTCTGCTGTCCCTGTCCAGGCCCACCTCCTCCCCCGGCCCCAGGACCCCTTACCAACCCATGCCCCCAACCCCAGTCTGAACTTGTTCAGCCCCTTGCTCAGCTATCCCCCCCAGCCCTGCCCCCCCACCCCCGACCTTGGAAATGTAAATACACCATGACTTTGCAAGTTTGTGCTCTCGCCCTTTCCCCATATGCCACTAGTGTGTAGGCAGATGTCTGAGTCTCTAGGTGGTTTCTAGGTTTTCTAGCAATTAGCTTTGAGGATCCCATCCCAGGAAAAAAGAAAAACAGACAAAAAAAAAAAAAGGAAAGATCGGTTCTCCCAGCAGCCACCATCGCCCCGAATGCCTTTGCTTGGTCTGTCGATGAGCCCTTTACAAAAAACAGAAGTATATATATATATGTACATAAATATCAGAATTATAAAAGGCAAATAAAAACCTGGAAACAAAGAGGGGCTCTTGTCATTTTACCCAGCACCGGGTCCCGCACTGTGGTTCCACCTGGCCTGTTCCCCTTACCCCGCTGGACTTCCCAGAGGCAATCTGGGCTCTCAACCACTGTTGGGCACCTTGTTCCTGCAGCTTCAGGTCCCGGTGGGTAGAGCACCCTGGGCTGCCTGGCCCTCTCAGGCAGTAAACACCCCCCTCATATGAATGACAGAGACCTCAAGTGGACCTGCTGGTACAGATGGCCAGCCGGTCCTGCTGATCTTCGTCTGTTTGCCCTACTCCCATGCTCAGCAGAGGTCTTGGTGTCTGTCCTCTTTAGCTGAGTCACTACAAAACACCAGTAGAAGGCATCTTTGCCCCCATTCTCACAATCAAATCTGACCCCTCCACCCCAGCCCCAGCCCCGGAACCCTCAGTGAGGTGAGCTGAAATCCGAGGTCGCCCTCTCCACCCAGGTACCAGGTCCCACCCCACTGCGACTCATCAAGGATTATTCTCTTGCTGTATCTTCCTTGTCTTTTCTGTATCTCTCATTTTTGGCTCCTGTTGGTTAGTTCCAGGAGCAAACATGCAGTAACCCACCTTTCATCCCTAAAAACACCAGCTAGTAACACTACATGCCTCTGTGGCTCTTGCCCTGCTATTCTGCCCCTATTAATGGATCACCCCTCAAGATTTGTCTACCCTTATCATCCCCTCTCAAATCTCCGCCTAAAACAGCATCTGCTTCTTGGCCCCAAAACATGTCTTCTTGTTCTTACAACAATAGAATGTCTTCACTCAGCTGAAGATGCATTTCCCAGACTCCTTTGCACCTAGGTGGGGCCACTGGGATGGAAGCGCGGGGCTGTGCCCTGAAAGAAGCACAGTGTGTCTTTCCCTGCCTGGCTCCATCTCCTGGCCAGCCTGGGAGAGTGGAAGTTGGCTGTTGATGATGACATAGCAGCAACATAGAAAGAGCCCAGGGTCCTGGTGAGATGGAGCTGCCATGTCAACCCTGGGCTGCCTCTCTGGGTGATAAAAAAAAAATTTACAGACTTTGTTTTCTAGAACAATTTTAGGTTTACAGAAACATTGAGTGGTGAGTAGAGAATTTCTGTGTAGATTTCAGTTCCTCACCAGTTTCCCTCTTTATTCCCCTCTTCCATCTCTTGCAACTGATGATCAAAAGTGATTTGTTAGCATTAACTGAAGTCCACAGCTGCCATTAGTGTTCACTCTTGGTGTTGTTATGTTCTGTGGATTTGGACAAATGTATGGTATCATACAGAGTAATTTCACTGCCCTAACATCCCCCCAAAATGTCATCACTGGGACTTAGCATGCATGACATAAAGTGCACACCTGAAGTTGGCACTTTTGAATCCACCACTCACAACACTGGCAACACAGAAAGCCCTATATGCCCCTACCCACTACTTGTTCCAGACACAGCCCCGCTTATGGCATCTTCCCTCCCATGCCCTGCTGGGGAATGGTGCAGATGTACCACAGCTTACATATCCATGTGCCTGTTGGTGGACACTTGGGTTGTTTCCAAGCTCTGGCTGTTCTGGGTAAAGTGGATCTATGCAGTCCTTTCTTGGAAGCGCATGCCCCAGGACGAGCGTGACTAGGCCAGGTATTAAGCTCTTGTCTCTTGAGTGCCAACTGACTTTGCTCTCCTCTGCCTCTTGATACTAGAGCAGAGACTCTGCAAATCCCATTCCTGCTTGGCCTGCTGGCTCCATCCTAAGCTCTGCTCTCAGAGGCTGTTAGAGGGAGACAGAAAGGCCCGAGGAGGAAGAAAGGGTGTGCTTTTGTGGAAGCATCACCCTCACAAGTCCTTCACTCCTCCTTTGGCCTTGAAGACAAGAGGGGCTGTGCTTTGTTGCATCCCCAAACTGAGGCACCAATGCCAGATGACAAATTCCCCTCCTCCTGGGGTTCCCCCTGGGGCTCTTTTCTGAGCTTGGAATCCCCAGCACTGGCTAGGCTCTGCCCCTACCTTAACACTGAGTGTCACCTCTCAGGGCCCCGATCAGTGTGGCTAAGTTTAAGGAGTTGCAGTCCTGCTTTTCATTCCAGCCTTAGGGGCTGTATGAGTTTGTGACGGTGGCTGTGACCAAGGACTACAAGCTGAGGGGCTGCAACAGCAGAAACGCGTTGTCTCCCAGATATGGAGGATGGATGTGTAGGATCGAGGAGTTGGCAAGGTCCTATTCCCTCTGTAGCTCAGCTGGTAAAGAATCTGCCTGCAATGCGGGAAACCTGAGTTCGATCCCTAGGTTGGGAAGATCCCCTGGAGAAGGGAAAGGCTACCCACTCCAGTATTCTGGCCTGGAGAATTCCCTGTACTGTATACTTTATGGGGTCGCAAAGAGTCGGACGCGACTGAGTGACTTTTTATTTATTTATTATTATTATTCCCTCTCAAGAAGCTGGGGAAAGACCTGCCTTTGCTTCTCCTTCCTGATTGGTTGGATCTAGACCGATGGAGAAACTAGTAACAAGGGTAGCGTCAGGAATCTCATCTTCCAGTTCAAAGGTACCATTTGCTTCTCACCACTCACAGCTCCACCTCTCACGTGAGAAACCAAGAGAGGCTGGGAATTAAGTCAACACTGGGATTCTTCAACCTGCACGATGAAACGCTGTGCTTAACTTGCAGTGCATTTCAGCTCCATGGCTACAAAAAGTAAGAGAACTTTTAGGGTTGTCGTGGAAGCCCTCTGATACTTTGCAAAGGGACACCCATTCTCCATGAGACCCATTGCCATTAGATCCATGAGGAGGGCCCAGTCTCAGCATTCTCTGGGGGCATGGGCACAGGGAAGACTTAAGAGGAAACAGCTGTAACCCCAAAAGAACAGTAAGATTTTTGCTAGTTATTACTGACAGACACCTGGGAGCATTTATGTGAGAGTGGATCCTAAGGATGTTATACCAAGAGGGTGGAATGTAATGTTGGGTTAGACACAACTTATTGAGCTGGGTGCATTTACCAGAGAGTCTATATTCATGTTAACCCATGTAGCTGGCAGGGATTCTAACCGACAACTTGTTTGGATGACTTCAACTTGGACTCCACTGTGGCCTAAGTTCAATGAGATCAAGATGCCAGCACAACCTTGGCTGCTGCGGGGGCAGGAATGCAATGATGTAATTGCTAGTGGGAATTGCAGGTATTTGTGCCTTGACTTGAAAGTTACAGTTGGGATGGCATGGCTCATATCCCCATTTATCTATTTGAGTCTGTTCAGAAGGTGGATGGATCTTGGAGAAAGACTACAGACTGATTTCAACTTCATCAGGTGGTGACTACAATGATAGCTGCTGTTCCAGATAGAGTCTCTTTCCCAAAGCAGTCAGCACACAACCCCTGGTCCCTGCCATGCAGCTGTTGGCCTATTGACTATTTTACTCCATACCAATATGCAAAGGGATTCCCTGGTGGCTCAGATGGTAAAGCATTGGCTCACAATGTGGGAGACCCAGGTTTGATCCTTGGGTCAGGAAGATCCCCTGGAGAAGGAAATGGAAACTCACTCCAGTATTCTTGCCTAGAAAATTCCATGGATGGAGGAGCCTGGTGGGCTACAGTCCATGGGGTTGCAAAGAGACATGACTGAGCAACTTTACTTTCTTTCTTTTCTTTTCTAATACACAAAGTCCATCAGAAGCATTTTGTTTATACTTGGCAGGGCCAATAGCATACTTAAGGATCAAGTCACCTCTCCTCCTTTCTGACATAATGTACTGCTCAGAGACTCAGACTATCTCACCATTTCTCACAAAATCTACTGGTCCACTGCACTGATGACATCATCCTGATTGAATCTGATAAGCAAGAAGCAGAGAGTACGAGAGATGCTTTGTAAGACATATACAGACCAGAAGGTGGAAGATTTACTCCATGAAAATCTAGGGACGTAAAACCTCACTGAAATTTCTGGAAGCTCAGTGCTGTACAGAATGTAAAGTTACCCTCTTCAAGGTGAAAGACAGGTGCACCTACATCAACCACCTCTAAAAATAATGTCTGGTTGTACTCTTTGGGATCATGGAATATATATCACAGGCAAGTGTGCCACATTGACCCATTGACTATGTAACTCATGAGGCTGCCTGTTTTGTGTGGGGATCCAGGCAGGAAATAACTCTGCCATGAATTCGGGCTGCTCTCTCACTTCCAACTGGGCCTGTGACCCAGCAGATCCAATAATGCTCAAAATGTCTGTGGGAATTGGTGAGGCTGTGTGGATCCTCTGGCCAGCACTGATAGGGGATCACTGTGCAGAGCTCTAGGGTTTTATAGAAAGGTCAGGCCCTCTTCTTTCCTATAACCAATCTCCTCTGGAGAGGCAGCAAAGGAAAATTCTCCAAGTAGGCAGAGCTTGGAGTGGCACAGCTAATTTTTCACAAATTTTTTCCCAACTTTATTCAGAGATCATTGTGTAAGTTGAAGGTGTACAGCATGATTTGGTACACGTATGTGTTACAAAATGTTGACCACAATAAAGTTAGAGAACACATTCTCCACCTCACAGAATTTTCATTTTGTTGTTGTTATGGTGAGAACATTTAAAATCTACTCATAGCAACTTTCAAGTGTACACTACAGTAGTATTAACTCTAGTCACTGTGCTTTACCTTAGATCTGAGAACTTATTCATCTTCTAACCGGAAGTCTGTGCTCTTGATCACCAGGTCTTTTTTTATCTCAGCCCCTGAAAACCACCATCCTTTCTATTCTATCTCTTCAGCTTTTTCTGAATCTACACAGAAATGAAATTACACAGTATTTATCTTTCTCAGTTTGATTTATTTCACTGAGCATAGTACCCTCAAGGTATATCCACATTGTCCTAAGTGGCAAGATTTCATTCTTTTTCATAGCTGAGTAATATTCTATTATATATATATGTGTGTGTGTGTGTGTGTGTGTGTATTATATACTATATCTTCTTTATCCATTCATCCACCAAAGGACACTCAGCTTGTTTCCATGTCTTGGTTAT